AAACAGGCTGTCCTATTCGTAGACTCTCGGAGTGCGGTTGCCGCAATATGCTCCTTTACAGTTAATAAGAATGCGCTGGTGCAGCAACTTCAAAATAAGCTTAATAAAACGGTACATGGAGGCCTTGATATAAAATTTTGTTGGGTGCCGAATCATATGGGAATAAAAGGTAATGAAGAAGCAGACAGACTCGCTACATCCTCAGGTAATCTTCCCCCGTCTCACGCCTGTTTGCCACACCAAAACATTAAACCTATAACAAAGTCATCCCTTCTTCGTTATTGGCAGTCTGAATGGAACACGGAGTGCAATAATAAACTTCATATTCCAAAGCCGGTTCTTGGGCTCTGGGAGAGCACTTCTCAGAGGAACCGATTCCATGAAGTACTATTGTGCCGTCTTCGAATCGGTCATTCTTACGTAACGCACAGATATCTTCTTAGTGGAGAGGACCCACCGGTGTATGAACATTGTGGGGATACGCTTACCATCATGCATATCTTGCCGCTGTGTTCAGCTTTGGACAAGGAACGTCGTATTCACTTTCCTGAATTGTTTAACTTCCAAATCCCATTCCATCCTGCTCTTTTGCTGGGAGAATACCCCCTCATCCCATTCGACCGTATGTTGTCTTTTATCACAAGCGCGGGTTTTATTAATAGGATATAACCCTACATCGGTAATTATTATTCTGTAGCTCGTTAACAACAACAGCTTGTTTCTTAAATTTTGTTTGGCGCAGTATGGCCTCCGTAGCTGTTGCGCTATGAAACCCCCCAAAATCATCATCATTTTCTCCCGTGCGAAACGGCGCCGTGTTGTTTGCAGACCGGTGGCGTCACTTCGTTTCCATAGGAGCTAAGCCTTTTTCTTTGTTTACGTTTTCCTCAGGTAAGTTCGCTCTCCGCAAATTTTACAAAAATAAAAAAAAAATGCACCATCTAGGTGCAGCGCTGTACAAAGTCGTAGCGCGATAGGTTAAAGGGAGTGTCCGGTGAAATTTTGCCTTCAATAAAACAATTGAAATGTATTGTCATTACGTCCAGATATACCTTCCGCACAATATCCTGAATTTCTTATGCTTCCTTGCATGGGTAATTGAATTTTCATTCAAGTCCAAACTGCTCAAATTTTGCCTGCAAATATACGGCGTTTGCGTTGGCAACATTGTCAAGAGCAGACGCTCTGACGTCACATCAGTGATCGCGGCCGTCCTCGTGTGCTATCAAGCACTGCGGAGTTGTTCCTGATCCGTTCTTTATAGCGTGGCTTTGCTATAGATTTCATTTTTATGAATGGGTGGTGACTTTTGTTGTGCGGTGGGGTGCCACAAAGATCGGGGTGCGAAAAAAGACGTGACGTTTCATGTGTTCCCGCGAGACCTGCCGCGGCGAGCAAGATGGATTGCCGCAGTGCGTCGGGCGCACTGGGTTCCTACAAAAGCGTCTCGCTTGTGCAGCGTGCACTTCACAGACGATAGCTACGAGCTCAGCTCGCGGCTTTCAAAAGAATTCGGTCTAGCGCAGAGGGCTCCGAGACTGAAGCCGGACGCCGTACCGACCATCTTCAACTACGTCGTTGCACCACCAACCCCTCTCCGTGGCGCGTTTGCGAAGAGGAGACGCAAGGACGTAAGTCAAATATTGGTTTCTAAAAGCGTTGAATTCTTTTAGTTAAAAAGTCACGACGTGTTTTCTATGACACACACTACCTCCGACTCCTGCCGTTTTGCTCGCTATTGAGGCCACAAAGAGCTGATCCATATGCGCGCGAGCGCTTTCTCTGCTCTCATTACTGGTTCACAAGTACTTTTGACAAGTTTTAGTAATTATATATTGGCCGACTTCGGGTTTTGCTTGTTGAAGTGTGCGAATAGCAGACGAATGATGCGATGTGCGACGTTGTTTATAAACGCAGGCTGTCGACGAAGCCATCGCCGAACGCGCTGCGACGGGTGCCGCCGATTCGGTCCCGGACCCAAACCCCTGCCCAGATGGAAATGGAGCCCTTGTTCCAGGCTGTGAGCAGCTTTCCATGGATGTTTCTGAACCGGAGACTGAACCGACTCCACGAAATGTCTGTGTCGGCGCACAAACGGAGCCTCTGCAAACATGCACGCGAAAGAACCAGACCAAGATCAAAGTCAGGTGCATAGGTGAAGATGTATCAATACTTGGGCTAGTTGGTTCGTGATGCAAGTGGACAAAAAACAAGCACTTCCTTGTGATCGTCTTTTTTTTAAATCAGGATATACTTTGTGCTTTGTTCATATCTAAGGTGCAGATACCACATGCATATGCAGAAACAGGTTGTTGAGATTTCAAAGTGGAAAATCTGCCCTGTGCAGTATCATTGTAGCAGGTATAGAACCAGAGATCTAATTTGAATCTGAGAATGGCTCTGAATCTTTTCTGCATAGAGACAGTGCCGAGCAGCAGTGTACGGTCTGCAGGCAAGGGCTTGTTTCATCTGCTCAGTTACAGTCCTGCAGTCTGATTTTTGTCTTCGCTGAAAGTAAAGCCTGGGTCACACATTTGCGTTCGAGTATGGTGTGGTCAGTGTCAGAAATGCGGATGCAGAACATTGCAGAAGTCGTCTGTGGAAGGCATGCACACACAGTAGTGTAGAACGTTATTGACGCTTTCGGCTCACCAATAGCAAGCGATATCCACGTGACTCGGGCTACTCATACTGTCCCAACCTTAGAAAGACCTGCTTCCGAGTCCTCATGTGCTCCGGAACAAGACAGATCTTGTCCATTGTCACATTGAAGACGGCGGTGACAAAAACGCATGTTCATCGGCTACCACTAGAAATTTTTATGAAAGGGTTTGAAGAAACGACCTCGCGACCGTGATCTGAGAACATCTCAAATTCTGATGAGGGTTTGACGAATGTGACAACAACAAAAAAAATTCGGAAAAGGCAAATAGCATTCAAAAATATTTATTATCCTGATGAGAGCGGGGGCACGACCGGCAGTCGCTATCTCTAAACAGTGCCAGCTCAGCTAAACGTCATGCCACACAAAGTCTGCATTAGCCCTTTCTACAATAGCGATGGGAATTGAAATCATTTTGATATTCCTTTGATACGCCGGTGAAACTTTTGAAAGTACCAACAACAACACGAACATCCCCTACCACCAGCGAGAGAATACACAAACTCAACTCTATTATGACGCAGCGCGGTAGTGGCGCGTCAAGCGCACTTCCGGTCTGGGGCTGTGGGCGGAAGTTGAAATGCGAGACGTGCATTCCTGCGTTGTTTTGAAAGAAATCGGAGAAAAACCTGCCTTCTTGTCAAAACGCCGTGACTGGGGCAGTTCCAAAGGAGTTGAGAAAGGCTTAAAGGTCAGTTTTCATGTGCTCAGTTCGTCCGAAAATGTAAATACGTGCCGTGAAAAAAAAAAAAAAAAAAAAAAAATCCCGACGCTGTCAGACCACGATTGCTTGGGCGGGAAGCACTTTGTGTTAAATTCACGGATACTTGTGGTCATTAGATATATTTGTTTTGTTCCAACATGAACGCAGGAAAACCGTTAAGTTGGACGGACCCCTTGCGGACTACGTTCAGTGCATCTTCAAGTTCAAACAGACGCCTGATCGTTCAAACTGTCGTCTGCTCTTTCAAACATTTCTGCTTGTCGTCTGCTCTTTCAGAAGACACCGGCTTGTAGACCAAATGTTGGCCCGCTAATTGCGATAAGAAGTAAGTGTATGCCTCAAAATAGTTTAAAGATTGTTTGGGGTAAGCAAGCCTGGTGTAAACAGTAGATACAAAGAGATGGTGATTATTGTTACCAGTGGCCATTACCGACTTGTTATGCCTGATTCACTTGGTCCGCTTATGCTTGCGATTTTCATTATCGACAGCGACCATCTCAGCTACGGTTCACGCTTTTGAAGCCCGAGCGACGTTGCAACTGAAAATTGCGAGCAGAATATTATCATACAAATCAGGCTTTAGCGTCCATTCTGCAGCGTCTACATGGAATGTATCGTCACATGTCACATTATTCATGCAAAGTTTTGCGGTGTAGCGAGCCTTGGTGATGTCGCTGAGGCCGCTCAAGTAGTCAGACATTGCCAGGAAGACGAAGAATCAACAATTCCAATACGAAAAAGAGCACGAGGACTCACATTGACGCCGACAACATCGCATTTTAATAGTTTGTTTATGGGCAACGGCGAGCTTCTTGTCCACTTTCCATCGCGCATGCACAGTGCCGGTGGCGTCTGCTAGGGGTGCTCCAGTTTGCTTGTAAACATGAGTTAGTCTATATTCTAATAAAGTAAGGAGCGAAAAGTACCTCTGGCGTGAATATTTCCAACCACTGTCACCAGTGAACATAATCCCGCGGTAATCCTTGCTGTCAAACGCAGAAATACTTCATAGAAGCACATTTCAGCGACAACTCAACGACGCCGGCGAATGGGGATAAACAAACATGGTGTACTGTTCCCGCGTTGCTGCGGGCCTCTGATTGGCCCACCGCAACACACCTCGAGTGTTTCTGCACTCAAAGTTAAACCGAGTGCAACTTCCTTGCAGTGCTGTGCGATAGGGCAAGCATTGTCCCGTTACTAGGCGACACGCTTCTGCAACTGACCGCAAGCGTGCCATTCTGCTCTCGAATGCAGTCAAACGTTAATGTGTGAACCAGGCTTGAGAGCCGTCTCAGCCACTTGTTGGCTAGGCAGGCACTATCGACCAAGGAAAAGGTCTAACCTGTTTATGAGTGATCAAAAAATATTTTGGTGAGAATGCCTTACCCACATACGCATGACAAAAGAGGTCGCACAGCATGTGTAATTTATTGCTCTTTGAATGCTACCCTTGCAAAATTTGAGCTTGTTCTAATGCCTGAAGATTGTTCACCGTTGCAGGTACCCAGACAGCATTTGCTCAACTCAGCAAGGAAGTGCAGACTGAGACTACTGAACAAACAAACTCAGCCGCACAAAATCCAGTTTCGGCAGAGGCTCCAATAGATGACGCTGATGGCTCGGACTCAGATGAGTAAGCATGCCTTCACACTGAAATGCGTTTTGCCATGCATCTTTATATGTGCAACACTATGGCTCCTCTTGACTCGTGAAATGACACCCCACATTAAAGAAAAAAAGTTTTTTTTAAACAGCCTATTTAGGACATGCATGTTACAAAACAAATATTCCGCGAAAAAACAAATTTTTTCTAACAATATTTACGCCGCATGACGTAATTTAGTTGAAGTTACAACTTTTCCACATTTAAAACTCCCGCTCTTTCGACGCGCGTGCGGAGTGCCTGGAATACGTTACCCCTGACGTATAGCAGCCTTTCCGTGACGTAGAATACAAACTTTGTGGCGCGTGATTTAAAACGGACGAAATAGCCGCAAACTAAAATGAGTCTCGCGCTATAAATATTGCTTTAAAAAATTTCGTTTTTGACAGAAAATTTTTTTTGAAACATGCTTGTCCCAATGGACCTTTTCCACATACCGACGGCACCAGGCGGTGGCTGCACGAACTAAAAATCGAGGAAGTGACCTACCTGCACTACCAATCGATAATAGGAGCTACGCTACCAGTTTCTTCGCTCTCTGAGCAGCGCCCTCCCAAACGTCGAGTTTTCCTTTCCGTCGACATTATTTTTTTGTGTAACACAATTATATATATGCTGCAGTTACGTGTTCTACTCGCTGATATACAGCCTCCTTCCGAATTTCCCCGATTTTTCGTTCCCGACTTCCGCCGGTTGGCATCGGGCGCTCGCGCGTCCGCAGAACGCTTCTCGGAAAAGGTCCATTAGGCTGTTTAAAAATATACTTTTTTTTTTTTTTGCAGTTACCCTTTAAGAGGAAAATTTTCCTCTCTAGAAGAGATCCTCAGTTCACTTTTGCTCTTATTTCTTTATGCTTTACACAAAGGCCCATATATGCAAACCCGAAATGCACTGAAGGAAAAATGTTGCTATCTTGTGGCATATGACATCTCATGCGAAGAGCATCATGAGAGATTCTCTTGGCTCCCTTGAAGCAGTTTAGTACGGCTAGCTCTCTGAGGGAAGATGGACAGCACTGCAGATCAGATTTCTCGTCCTTCAAACTATATACATGATTTGTGCTATCTGATTTAGTTACTGCAACCTCAAAGTTAGCCATGATTTAAAAAAAAACAAAAACGAGACTGCAGATTGTGACGCACACACGCACTCAAGTCCCAATTTTTGTATTTTGAAACTTTTGAGTGTGGTACATTAAACTTAATCATGTTTAATGTACACCAGCTCATTTGCACCCTTGCATTTATTTCAAACTTAGGTTTTCCACAGTTTTAATTTCTACTTTGAGTGACCAGTTAGTGGCACGTAACCCCCTTTATTCAAAACTTGTAGATTTCTTAATACTAGACTCTGGGAATGAAATGAAATTCGAAAATATCATGTACAGACTGATGAATGGCATACGGTGTCGGCATACCCAAGGATGAATTCGGATGAGCCTTGTGATCTTTACACATTGCCAAAATCTCAGCTCAAGAAGCCAAAATCTCAGTCAAGAAGCTTCTGTCAGATTACAGACATCTTGGCTCGATTTCAAGCCTACAATATGGGGATTTGTGTGCTGGCCTGGGGTTCAAGCCCATTTGTGTATCTGTGTACTGAAATTTGCATGGTAGCCACCTTGGCACGCAGACGTCTGGAAATGAGTGTTGGTTGTGGAGATATTCATTTAAACATCTCGTGTTTTTGCAGTGATCCTCTGGGTCTTCTTCAGGATCCAAGTGATCCTGACTACCGTCCAAACTACTCAGACGATGAAGAGTTGAGTAAAATAACTTTTTTCTGATTGGAACTTCGTTATGATGTATTTCGCATGACACTATTAGTGCCCCATTGTTGGTCTTGTTTCTTTTTCTCTTAGAAAGGCAGAGAGAGCTAGAAATACCTTATTTTAAGTTAAATGATTTTTATAAAAGCTATATGGCTTTCCCGAGCCTAAATTAAGTTTATTATTAGTAGAGCGGCGAGAGCTGCTCAATCAGGGCTGCAGCTTATAACCGGTAAATTTTATAACCGTCCAAACCCTGTTTGAGCAAACCACTCAACAAAGGCGCTATACATTTTTCTTTTGATTGAAGTTTAACTTTCCTCTTTTTTTTTCTATCTCAAAGGGCCCCAGGAACTGGCGCAGCACCTGATGAAAGTGAAGCAGCCACCGACAAGTACATCGTGTTTGGGTCTTGCCTCAAGAAGCTCCTGAAGCGGTGCTCGGATTGCTTCTCCATGAACACCCGTCTCCTTTGACCTCGTCGGATCCATGGTGAAGGCCACCACCACTTGCGGCGCTGGCCAGCGCCGCAAGTGGTGGTGGGAGAGCCAGCCTAAGTGTCATGGCAAGCCGGAGGGCAACATCTTAATGTGTAGCGGGATCGTCTTCAGTGGAGGCTGCCCAACAAAGGTGCTCCGCCTCTTCGATATCATGGGCGTCGCCAGAATCCATTCCACACAGTTCAACGAGTATCAGAGATGCTACGTGCTCCCAGCAGTGATGAACGTAAGCAGCTTAGATTGTGCTATCTTTTAGAATATGCACAGCAATTTTGGAAATTAATCAAAGACAAGGGATGCAACCCTCCCCTGTTGTCATCTGTCCTTGTTTTTACTTTCCTGATCAATTGCTGTAAATTTACATGCTCCTTAATTTCTGTTTAGCAATGCTCTGTTTTTTTACAACACGTATGGAGAGCTGAACAACGCACTCTTGTCAAGAGCCTGGAGGGGCGGCCACTACGCTGGCCGGCGACGGCTGATCGGACTCCCCTGGCTTTTCTGTCCTGCACGGGACTTATTCGCTGCTGGAGACATCAATCAACCGTATTATTCACCTGGAACTTGTACAGGTGGGCATTACAAATGTTTTCCACCATTTATATAACACTCCAATCTAGTTTCACAAGAGCGTGCAGGTGAGTTTTGGCCCTGGAACTACCTGCATACTACTTGTGTATTGTAAAGACTGGAGACTAATAGAGAAGAAAAGATGGTCAGGCAATGCAAAGAAGAGAGGGACGGACCAAATACAAGTCTCCTTCCAGGTGCTGAAGGAAGGCTTGCCAGGCTATGCTTGTCATTCAATCTATCCGAGTGCTATTTTTGTTCGAAAAATCACAGCTGCATGTGAAATTTTACAGTGATAGCTGTTAGTGGGACCCTTTCTAGTTACGCATTGTGTGTGCGTGCTCCACCTCGACGAAAATGTTACAAAAATGTGTTCCCAGATAGAGCCTGCGGGAAATTGATCCTAGTATCCAATGGCTTGCAGCACGATGCTCTTCTCATTCAGCTATAATGCTTGTCAACTCAAAAAGTGTGTTCTTTGAAGTACCCAATGCAGACAGCACTCCCTCATGTGGAGAATACCAAGCAATAACAGGAAACATTCATGGCGGCAGGCTAGTAGGTGCACGCGTGTAAGGGTTTTCACCTTTCTCCTAAGCTTAGCATGCCACCGTGGATGCACCTGTTCTTGTGCAAATAAAATTATAATTACAATAATGAAATTAACAAAATGCTACTGTAGCGGGGATAAAGCTACAAGCTAGGGCCGAGAGGACAAAATACAGAATGCGTGCCAATGCGGCAGTGCGGGCCCGAGAAGACGCAGCGAAGGAGGCGAGATGTTAGGCAGATCTCGAGATTTGAGCACGGGAAGCAAAAGTGCGCTGTCACCTCTGATTTCCTTGAGGCAGTTATGGCGCTGGATGGACTGTGGCGGGATGTTCGGCATCGAAGGACCGGTTGGGAATGTGTCAGTTGAAGTGGACATAATCGTGTCACGTCTACATTGGTCCGTGGATGGCAACCATGCCATTAAAGCTATGGCTGTCCATTATCTTGCTTGAGAGCATATTAGTACAGCTGCACGTGACATTTCTGTGTTGTCTGTTCGTTCACGCCTCCTTTTGGGTCTCCATCGGAATCTTATCCCAGCTCGCCTGTCTTCTCTTCAGTTATAGAAGTTGATGTTAGTTATGCCTGACATTAGTTTGGAAATGTTCCCTTATATTAGTAATTCCTTTATAGCATGATGTTTGTATTGCAAGTTAGTTTCTTTCACAACTGTGCTTTCACTCTCTCAAAGAGGAAAGGGTTTAAATCGGAATTCAAGAGTTTTTAATGTTGCTTAAATAGAAAAAATTAATGTTCTTAATGATTTATAAGCAATGGCAGCGGACTCAATTGTTCAGAACCGGTGTTCTAATTTTTGGGGTATTTTACACTTATACTACACTTTCGTTCAATGAAGTTGTTAATCCTAGAAATTTATTACTACTATGGACTTGCAGATTTCATGGCGTTTGTTTACCGGTTGTTTTTCAGTCGACTGAGGTGAAGTGAAGTTGCCACATGGAACTGGAGGGGCTGACTAGGTCTTTAGTGTACTTTGCGGAACTGGGTATCACCGTGGAGGTCCTTGTCACTGACAGGCACCTGCAGGTCAGCGCGTACATGAAGCGAGAGCATCCCCTCATTCAGCACCGCTTTGATATCTGGCATGTCAGCAAAGGTAAGCCAATATCACAGTAAAAGCACATATCCCACGAAATTGACTGAAATAAAGGTTGACTGGTCAAACAGAAACCCCAGGACAATAAACTAAAAACAGGACAAATACAACAACGAGATGATTATAATAATACATGTCTTTGTTTACCAATGCATTGTTGCATCTCTGAAGATAAAACAGCTCCAAGTGCAGGCAAGCAGAGGTTGAAGTTGCACTTTAAGCATGCTTATCACCAACCAGTGGTGTTTATGATGCAAGTTCAGGAAGGTTATTGTGATAAATCACTAATGAAAAAGAGGGAGCACAACATTGGAGGTTTGAGGCTTAGGAGCTGCCAGGAAGTCCCTAGTTTTCCAGGCCAAAATACTTGCTGAGCTGCATGAACCGAAGATAGGCTGGTTGCGGTATAAGGACATTTTAGGAAAGACCATATTATCCACCTTAGCCTCTGTACGGGCTGCATGCGGGATAGGGTGCTTTTACGAAACCACATTTTATCTCCTGCTCGTGTTTTACCGTTCTCTTAAAACCTTCCATCCCTTTTTTTTTTATTAGTTTGCATGTAGACAATTGCTTCTTCTGTCACTCTTGGTGTTGGAAAATCTTGGAAATATCTTGAGGGGCTACACCAATGATGGAGCTCGAGAAACACGACCGAGGACCAGGGGCGGATTTAGAAGGGGGGTCCGGATGTCCTGACCCCCCTCTTGATTTCTGCATGTGTAAAATTTAGGGCGTGAAACGAGGGAGAGGGGGTTTCTAAACATAGGGTACGCTGACCAACAGCTGACCCCCCCTCCCCCCCCCCCCCCACCCTCAGGAAATTCCTGCATCCGCCCCTGCCGAGGACCTATACAGGTCGCATGAACCCATGTTCTCCAGGTCTTTTCCTCCCTCCAAGACCCAACAGCATCTGCAGAGGAGAGTCTGCTTGCTTGCCATTGAGTGAAAATGGAACATCAGGCAATGCTTTTGTGGAGCTAGCAGAAAAAGTGTGCCTCCACCCATACATGAGCATAGGGCACAGCTTCACCAGCATAGGTTCCGGTGAAGCCTGGAGCTGGAAGTATGCCACATGAACACCTAAGCCCTGCATAAAATTTGCTTATAAGTTTTGCCTTAGCAAAATATAATTGAGGATCCGCAATTGAGCAAAGCATTGTCTCAGCTGCAGTTAGAGCACATTCAAGCCTCTTTATAATTTCCTCAGAAATATCTTGACAGTTCTGGACTAAGGAGCATTCCTTTTTATGAGATCATCCTTCTGCCACTGGTTTGTGGAGTTATAATCTATATACAGCAGTAGAAAATAATGCAGTTTATAGAAGTCATCTTTCAACAACAATGAAAGTGTTTTCAAACTCATTGCCCGCATTACATTGGAGCATTGAAAGGGAATTATATTTACAGGCATTAAAAAGAAGATTGTGGCAATCGCCAAGTCGCCACGCCACAAGCCATTGGAAAAATGGCTGGACACCATCACGAGACATCTGTACTGGTGCGCCCGCACCAGCAACGGCCAGGGGGACCTGAACCTGGCAAAATAGACGTCTATCACCAGGCACATCTGCAATGTCCACCACCACCCGAACCCACTGCACCCAGCGTGCTTGCACGGGGATGTCAGTGATCGGCTCTGGATTGAGGAGGGTGAGCTCCTGGGTTGCAAGTTTTAGAGAATGTTCGCTTATAGTTGCTCTTACTTTTAGGCACCGAAACCTACAAGAAGTTGGAATCGGTTGTGCTCTCTAAGCACCTCCTGCGGGACATTCCCAAGCTCTCCTCGAACGAGCAGACGTTCGGACTGGAGGCGCTCCATGGGGTGCTGATTCATTTTTCCCCCAAGTCTGTTAGCTACCGATATGATGGACTGCTGGCAAGGTGGGTGTTGCACTTCGTCTGGCATCTGGACTACTAATTTGTTACGCTCTGCTGCATCTTTCAGGACATACATTGCAGCGCTCCACTACAACAGCAATGCGGACAGGAAGGTGCGCTTCACAGAAGACGGCGAAGACAAACACGCCCTGAAGTTTTCCAGAGCAAGGAAGCAGTGGACCATTGTTCCCGTCATGGAAGACACCAAGTTTGGTACGCTGTATTCACAAACTATGTGTAAACACAAGTTATGAACATTACCATCCACACATAGATATAATTTACATACTTTTGGACCAAGCCGAGTCCCTTCAGCCTGGTCTTGAAAGTCGAGTTACATTGAAGAACCTGATATAATAATTGTTGGCCAGCAACTTGCTGGATCACGCTTTCCCGCTTCGCGAATGAGGCCACCGGTCTTCCATGTTTTTGGAGGCATAAGATGATTGACTAGCGCTGTGGAGGCTACTATAAAAAGTAGAAATGGTTGACATCTTGTTCTTGATCGCCGTTCGATGAAACAATATCTGTACACGCAGTAAGAATGCAAGCTTCATTTTCAGTATCCGGCGAAAGTTTTGCAAAAGCGCAGCACCAGAGAAGGGCAGCATATGCAGCTTCTGCAATGCTAACTCGGCCATCCTGTGCCTCCATAAACGTGGCCAACCAGTGGCCACGTTTGCATACATACGCAGAGATAGGCAAGCGCAATCCAGCAAAGTCATATAGATCATTAATATTAACTTGTTCACAGTAAAAAAAAAGG